GTGACCTGCTTGTCTCGTGGAATGTTACACTGTGTGGCATTAAACTTGAGCCTTGCACGTCTTCAAGTGCAGGTGTTTTGTAGCTCAGACGTACCTGCCTTCGCCCACACGGTCCCGTCTCTGTTCCAGGTATGATGTGTGTCTTCTGTCTCGTGCTGGGCCTGGGCTTCACCACTCCGTCTGGAAACTACTGGTTCACCATGTTCAACGACTACGGCGCCACGTTCTCCCTGCTCTTCATCGTCCTCATCGAAGTGATCACCGTCAGCTACTACTACGGCATCAAGAGGTGAGTCCACGTGTGTGTCCTGAAGAGGAGAGCACAAGTATTCAAATATCGGTGTGTTGTATCGTTTAATGTGACGGTACAGTATCGATATTGTGGTAAAAGTGGATTTGAAGACGAGACTTAGGCAACATCCACAACGACAACGCTCCTGGATTTGTTTCTTTGCGGGTTGAAAAAAATTCACACACGAGCCGGATCAGTAAATATTCACATCCACACGACAACGGAGCACTGAGTGAAAACGATGTAATAGATCTGCCACACCTGTATGTGGCGCTGTAACAATGATCATAATATTCAATAATGCAAATCTCATCACTGTTTTTTATACTTGAAGGTCATTTAGCTGATTTTAGATGTATCCCAGAAATATAGACGTTTTGTTTTGCAAAAGTGAAACAAGTCACAGAGAGAACACTCATATTCCACTGAGTCGTGTCCTTTAGTCTGACAGAAGCTGAACCTCATCAGCGACACAATAGCAGCTGTTTTTTGAGCACTCAGTTTATGCAAATGAGTCATGTGGTTTTAAGTTTCGTTTCTGTAAAACATAAACAAATATACTCAAAGTTGTGTCGATAGAGAAGACTCACGGACACAGAAACGAAGTGTCTGGACACAGATCGTTTCCGATACGGTGATACGGTCATCGGAGGACCCTGGCGATGACGGGATCGTGACGTCATCGTTTTCCAAAAGCTGCGGTTTGCTTGTCCACAACGCGACGCCGGCATTCTCAGATTTCACCACTCTAGAACCCATTCTCAAAAAACTCCCACCCAAAACGCCGGCTCCATGTGGACGAAAGGTCAAAATGAACACAAACTTATCCGTTTTGACCAAAAAACATTGTCGTGTGGACGGCCCCTAAAACTCTCCACTGTGGGGGCTGTTGGGACGTGGGGGGGCAGAGCATTCCAGGGTTTGGGAAAGGTCCTGTCCTCCTGGGTTTAAGTCTCGTCTTAGGTCCTATGAGCTGAAACTGGACCACGGACCTCAGGAGGAGTAAATCTGGATGAGGTCCGAGACGTAACGTGGGGCCAGAACATTCAAAGCTTTAAAAACACACAATAAAATCTTAAAATCAACTCCGAAACGAACTGGAAGCCAACGCAACGACGCTAAAATCAGAGTAATGTGGTCGTGTTTTTTACTTCTAGTAAAAAATCGTGCAGCAGAATTTTGGACGAATTGTAAGCGAGAAAGTGCAGGGAGGCTGACACCAGAGAAAAGTGCGTTACTGTCGTCTAAACGAGCGGAGATAAAAGCGTGTGACCTGTTCAAGGGTATTAAAAGATAAAACTTAGGACAAAAGCCCAAATAACAAAAAACAATTGTCATAAGTGATGCTGAGGTTAGTGACAGAGGATTTGACAAAGTGCTGAAACTGACCCAGATCCATAAGGTTTGTGTCAGTGTTGGGAAACGGTAAGATCTCAGTTTTTCCTTCATTGAGACTCGAAAAATTGTGGGCCAATCAAAGTTTGAGTACGGAATGTCATGTTTTTTTGAAAATCAAGCCGAGTGGGAGGAGGTACAAAAAGAATATACTTGTGATTAAGTAAAAAAGCAGTCAAAAAAAGTCAGAAGAAGAAATATTACAAAAGTCCTTCATTGTTTTCATGGGACGGGCCGGTGTGTTTGGACAGTCGTGTACTGTGTCCATTTCTGACCAACAGAAGACACCAGAGGATTCCTGCCGTGTACAGTCATAATCACCTTCTCTAGAACTTCTGAAGCACTTGAGAAAATACTCATAAACCAGGGAGTCTGTTTACGACGCTGCCCTGTGTGCCCCTGGAGCCTTCACCCGACTCACATGTTCTGAAAAGTAAAAGGGTCATCGGTCAGCTTCTCTAAGGCAACGTTCAGTCTGCAGCCTAACGTGACCCAAATCTGATTTTTTGGCCCCTCTGCTCCTGTACCTGATCTTTTAATGAACCAAACAGATCCGATGTTTTCAAATGCGACTCAGGTCCCTTGGATATGTGCCCCTAAAAATGATACATACCGTATTTTCCAGGTCATAGCCGCGGCCTTAAGCCTCTAACCGCATCAAAAAAACGACCGCGCACCACAGTCCAGAGCGCCCCATACACGAATCCACTCGGGTGTCCCAGCACGACTTCAGTAAACTACAAACCCGCAGAACACACAAACACACACGGAGCAGACAGCGACCGCACAGCGAAACACACCCACAGACACACAGACACACTCATCACTCCACGCCGACGAGGAACGGAACGGAGGAATGAACCGAAAAAGCGAGTGCAACGTGTCAATCTGAGTCACATCTGAACAACTGAGTCACTGCAATCGTTCCGTTGGTCCCAGACACACCCTCCCTACACGCCACAGCTGAACAAAGCCCAGAGTCACCGTGAACGAACAAACAAACAAAACCACTCACCCATCACACTGTTGGGTTTCCTTTAAAGTCCCACGTGGTTTATTTGTGAAAAAAGTTCAAAAATAGACCATTTAATGCGTCTTATAATCCAGAGCGACTAATAGCCCGGAAAATATGGTATTCGATCTTTTGACATGCGACTTCAGTCTGAACGTCCACGTCACATTCATCCACCTACACGTCATCAACAAGCGACAACCGTCACTGTTCTGCGCTGAAGTAGACGAAAACTGGAAGAAAGCCACAACCATAGCAAGAGAATTTTCAGGCTGTAAGAATTCTTTGTCAGTGAAGCACAGATCAATGCCACCAGTCTGCGACTCAGCACACACACGTTTCTTTCTACGGACGTTGCTGCCGCTGTTCCACAAAAAGCCACGGCCAAAAAGCTCGTCCTTCTCCTTCTCAAGCTCCTCCTTAAAACAAATCATCTGTTCATGTTCTGGCTCCGGTACGACAGCAGCTTTAAAATCTCCAGGTGCTCGATGCTGCGTCCATGTTCAGGCGACTTCCGTAAAAACTGAGCAAGCTCGCTGTGTGTGACACTTTCGGGGCATTTAAAGTTCACACTGGAGATCACACACAAGTCACATTTAACTGGAAATGTGAACGACCTCGAAAAAAACAGAACTCAGACAGCGAGGCAGCCGTCTGAACAGGAATCTGCTTTCTCCAGAAACTTCTCAAAGAACCTGGAGCTTACGATCGGAACCGTAAATCACAGCACTCAAACTAATACTACGACCCATGCTGACTGGTCGACGTTAAACTTTAGTTAAATCAAATGCACAAAATGCTTCTCTCTGCACATTTTTCACTATGCAGTCTGTGTTTTTGCTAAAGTCGACCAAAGTCTGTCTGTTGGTGTCATGGTGTTTGTTTTGGTTCGTTCAGAGGTGAAAGGTCCTGCACCCCTACACTGGCCAGTCACACAAAAGCTGGAGTGTTTGTGAACTTGTGTTGCTCGTGTTGAAAAGGCTCCTTCCCAAAGCCCTTGAAACAGAAACAGCCAAGTCCCCTCAGGTTCACCTCTCAGTGTGTGTGGGTCTCTGTTCTCCTTCTGGATCTGGTTGAAGTTCCTCCAGAGATGGGATTGGGATGTTATTAAATTGATTCTTAAAAGGATTGTGATTCTATGTCTGGATCGATTATAAATTCTAAACAATCAACATTAAATTATGTTAAATACAAAAGTGTGTGGCGTTGTAGAATCATCAAAACCATCGTGAGCACCTTAATAAACTTCCATACCTTATTTCTGTCGTGGTGTGTCAGGTTTTCCAAAGACATTGAGGACATGCTGGGCCACGCTCCAAACTGGTACTATAAAATCATGTGGGGAGGAGTCAGCCCCCTGCTCCTCATCGCGCTGCTCATCTTCTACATCGTCAACTACATCCAGGGAGGCACGCCCACCTACCAGGCCTGGAACCAGGAGCTGGTGAGTCCCAAACACAGCACACGCAAAACTGAAGGCTGCTTATGTAGGACTAAAGGATCTGGAACACCAAACCGTCATTTGAGGACTCTGGGTTTCCAAACTTCTTCTCCTTATGGATTCTTGGGGCTTCGCAAGAGTTTTTCACGAACTTGCTCTTGCTTCTCTTCTGATGTTGATGTTGGTACAAGATCCTTTAGTCCTGCAGAAGAAGCCCAACTCTGCACATTTTTGGTACCAAGTCCAAATTTGTTTGCCAGTCAGTGAAGTTTTTCTAAATGTTGCATTGAAGCTGCACAGTCTTGGGTGAGTGTGAGCAGCAGATTCAAAATACAAATGATTTCTGTTTGGGAGTGAACGGCTCAACCTGAAAACAGAACAAAAATAAAACATTAAGCATAAAATTTTGATCTGGTTCTAAACATTGTGTGAAAATTTGAGATTATTTCAAAAAGAATTACCAAAATTAGCCTGCGAAATGATGCCAAGTCTTAAGAAAAACAGAGCAAAGCTGATGATCTGATGATTGTTATGTTTGTGTGAGTTCTTACGGGTCTGTGGTTTGTCCAGGGCGAGGCTGTGGTCACGGAGTACCCCCTGTTTGGACAAATCTTCATCGCGATATTGATCGTATCTTCGGTGAGCTGCGTGCCCATCACCGCCCTGTACGTCTACTGCACGAGGAGGAGACCGAGCGCCATGGCTGTGTACACATAGACCCCGGACACTCCCCAGAGCCCCCAACACACGCCTACCTGACCCCAACACACGCCTACCTGACCCCAACACACGCCTACCTGACCCCAACACACACCTACCTGACCCCAACACACGCCTACCTGACCCCAACACACGCCTACCTGACCCCAACACACGCCTACCTGACCCCACACACACCTACCTGACCCCAACACACGCCTACCTGACCCCAACACGCCTACACCACGCCTACCTGACCCAACACACGCCTACCTGACCCCAACACACGCCTACCTGACCCCAACACACGCCTACCTGACCCCAACACACGCCTACCTGACCCCAACACACGCCTACCTGACCCACCCCAAAGCACAGACTGTATATAGGTGAGTTTCATTGTTGACAAAAGCGTGCGTTGCTGCTGGGAATTATTTTGGTCGGCGGCAAGAAACACTAATTGAACATGAGCGAGAAAACACGTAAAGGGTATTGATCCTGGTTATTTATCCAGTCTAACGGCAGACGACCCAAGACCATTTGACCAGAAATTGGTCATAAACATCGACGGACGACAAATCACCCTTTTCAACCCCGACAGAGTCTGGACCAAACCAAACTTCTGGTCAGAATCTCCAACTCCCTGGACAAATATTCACTTGGGCGACATCCACAGTGACTTGGTGAAAACTCCTGGGCCATTCACAGCAGAAAAGATGAAAACCTCCAAGAGTCTGGATGTGTTGTTGAACTTGTTGAGTCCACGGTTTGTTAGGATCTTCTACGTTTGCTCTGCGGATGTTTGAAAGTCGTTTAATTCACCGTTAGTGGTTCTTTTCACTCGGAATACGAAAAAGACATTTTCCTTCTTCCGTGTTTCTATTTGTGCGTCCGATAATGCAGCAGGAATTTACCATTATCGGGGAGAAATACGCGAGGTTACACACTGTGTTTGACGCTACCGTGTTTCTTGCCTCCGACCAAAATATTTCCCAGCAGCAACGCGGACTTTTAATAACAATGACGTCAGCTCAAACTCGCCTATAGAGATGGACTCACCTAACTCCGAGCCGCCACGTTCCAAAGACGTAGTTCCATCAGAGTCTGGTTCCATCAGAGTCTGGTTCCATCAGAGTCTGGTTCCAGTGGACCTTTTTTCACAACGTCTGAATTGTCCCGCTGTAGGTTTGTGGCACTTCCAGTTAATGTTTTTCTGCCCCATCACCAAATCTTCAACCAACAAACTCCACAAAGGAGAAACATACTTCATGAACAATTTATCCACAAATATCAAGAGAAGAAAGAACAAACCTTAAAGGAAACAACGAGCCACATGAGTCACACTACAAACTGAACTCATGTTCTGATCCTAGAGACTCTCACATTCAAACTGCACAAATCTATTTATCTACGCAAATATCCACATCATGAAATCCATTTTTAAAGTTTAACTCTAGAATGAGTCTGAGTGAACAAGTCACTTCTGTTTTATTCATGATCATAACATTAGTTTAGTTCAGTGTCATTAATGCATCGTCGTTGTTTCCTTTAAGCTTTTCGGAAGTTCACTAAACTTACAGCACTTCTGGCCGTTGTTAAAAAGGTCTTACTGGCTGCCACTTTTTATAAAAATCGTAAACATACCTTAAAATTTGAATTCATTACTGGTTGTATATTATGCAAAACTCTTGTGGGATTTAAAGGTTGTATGGAGGATTTTTTTTTTTTTTTTTTGTTTGTTTTTTCAGTTGTCAGTGATAGATTATAGATGCAGTCGCCTTGTAATTATGATGACCAAAAAAAAGAGAATAAAAATTCATCAACTCTGGACGTGGTGGGGCTAAACATTTGCCAATAGATAACGACACTGCCTCGTTATCTGTGAGCTGACAGGCTGTCAATCAAACTCCCTACGTTTCTAGTGTAACTGACTTGTCTGCGCCGCCGGTACGTGGTTTATGTACGACTGTCACACAGTCCACAGACGCAAGACGCACAGACGCTGTTTACTCCACCAACGCAACAGTTCTTAGCGGCTTTTTTTTACCTAAATCTTCCTCGCAGTTCACACAAAGTTTGTTGCGATGGCGACAAGAATCCAGGAGCAGTTCACCCCAAAAGAAAGTCCGTTTTTGAGGTGAAAGAAGAAGACAAGGGGAAAAGCAGCGAAGCCAAACTAAGGTGATTCTTGAAGATTCATTCCAGCGATGGTGCGACTGAAGCAGACGAAGGGTCTAAAGACTGAACCACTGGTCCACAAATTACTCCTGGACAGGAAACTTCTGCTTATTATGAAAACCTACTTTATTTCCAAGAGCGAGACAAACGTTTTTCAGGACACGAAAGCGATATCCTATGTCTGAAAACGTAATTTTCAAGGCAAAGAAAGAGTCGCTTGCTGCTGCGTGTTGTAGCTAGTTCATTCTCACTGAATCTCTGCGCACTCTTCTCTGCTCCCCTTTCCTGCTCCTGTCCCCGCTGCCCGATCCACTCTTCTCCCTGCTCCTCACTTCTCGTCCGCGAACGAAATGTCCGTGCACCCCCTCCCCCTGCTCCTCACTTCTCCGTCTTGTCTAACCAACACTGTAGTTAGTTGTTTACAAGTCATGTGCAGCACCGGCTGTAAACAAACCTGTTTGTGGCGTAAGGAGGAGGAGGGAGGAGGTGTTTCTACGTAGGAGCTGTGGGGGGGGAGGTGGTTTCACACAGGAGCAACATTTGAAAAAGGACAAACAGTCGCTGGATTTCTCGTTCCTTGGAAAATCCTCTATACAACCTTTAAGTCGTGATCTAATGTTGTTCCCTCGTCACAAACAGAGCTGGAGTTGTCTTTGTTTTATTCGCATGTTTGAGTAAATCTTTATTCTGAGTCTGTCTACATCTCCAAAGCTCCAAACGCTCTGTTCCACCTCGTGATGTCATGATGTAGTGATTTCAAGTATGGTGGTTTGTAGTAAAGAAATTGTGAAACGAGTGTGTGAATAAGGAAAACTGAAATATGAGTCAGTTTAGTCCCATTTTCTTTGTGTTTTGGTCGTTTTTAAGCAGCTTTTCTGTATTTTACCTAAACAAATGACAATTAATGCCTCTATTTACTGTAGGAAGGTATAAAATTAGTCAAAAATAGGGACACCTGGGATATTTTTGTATAAAACTGGAACAAATATCTGGTTTTTGGGACTGTCCCGGGTAAATATGGACGTCTGGACACTCTACTCTATTGGTTTCGTTTAGGAGTCCATTTCTTTTATACAGTCTATGCCTCAAATGCCTCAAATACCCCGAATACCCGCCTCGCAAAAGCCCCTGTCATGTCACTGTACTGTTTCTTTGTAAATAGACATGGACTATTTTTAGAAATGGATTGAACTTTTTTGTATTTTTGTATTGTTTCTATGTATGATAATAATATTTTTGTGTAGAGAGAGTTGAACTGTTGTGTACGAGAGGGGCCCGGTTTGTGTGGCCCCCTTTTTTGTTAAATATTAAAACTGCCTTACGTGTCCGTTGACGCCGTATGGATCAGAACATTCCAGTTTTTGTGTTTTTTTATAAAGAGGACGTAAATTGTAAATAACACCGACATTTCTTGTGGAAGCTGGAGCCTCGTGCGCATGTCTCAGATTCATTTGGGTGTAAAAAAGTAAGTTAAACTCCGATAAAACTTGATTTCTGTAACAAATAATGATCAAATTGGACTGGACTACGAGTATTTATGGACTAATTAAGATCATACAAGTTTTTGTCAAGCTCAATCTCACATAAACGGACTGAATTTTTAAGATTTTTGGCGTATGTGGCATCTTTACACCATAACAGTTTATTTAAAGGGGCACTATGTCACTTTTTGGTCGTTTGTTTCTGTGGAGACGTCACTGCTGGTCTGGAATGTTCCGCGGCGTGACATTAAACTGCTCAACTTTACATTTTTTTCAATTACAGGTGGTTTTATAGCTTGAAAATCCCTAGAAAAACTAAACATTCTGACAGTGAGCGAGGTCGCCTCTCCACAGATCTGACCTGGAACATCCCAGACAAAGCAATAACATGTAATATAGAGAAAAGCTTTTGACAGATCTGCCACTAGAAAAGTTAAATAATCAACATCTACAGAGACATAAACCAGAGCAAAGTGTTGTGTCCCATTCAGCACCTTGTTTTAAAAAAGACCACGTAAACATTTAAATTCTACTGAAAATGATTATTCAGAATTAAACTCAATTCCAAATGTTATAGCCGTGGTAATAAACGTACGGAATGCAGTTTATTTTATTTATTAGACATGAATGGGCAACGAGTTCAGGGAAGAGAAGCGACCAGAAACAAAACAACAAAAACAACAAAAACTACAGCAGGAACGATGGTTAAACTGTCAAACACAAAAATCCAAAATTACAAAAAACACAGACAGGCTAGATACATTTTAACAAATTTAAAAACGATTAAAAAATGAAGCTGCCTGTGTCGTAAATCCTGGTCCAGTCCTGGTCCAGTCCTGGTTCAGTCCTGGTTTAGTCCTGGTTCAGTCCTGGTTCAGTCCTGGTTCAGTCCTGGTTCAGTCCTGGTTCAGTCCTGGTTCAGTCCTGGTTCAGTCCGTGGCGTAGGCAGCTCAAAAGTTTGATATAATCACGGGTTAACGGGCGGGTCTGGTCCTGTTGTACTGCAGGTCTCCAAAAACAGACCCGTGCAGGACTCTGCGCTGTCGGGCTCTATTACGGAATAAATGAATCTTGGGTTTGTTACATAAAGAAGGAGGAAAATAACAAAAGGACGACAGCAGCAGTTTTAAGAAGGATGTAAAAAGTGTTGCACCTGTCGATCCTGTCGGAGAAAAGTGTTTAAAGTTTGTGCTGAGGTTTTACAGACTTAAAACAGATAGAATAATTGTAAAATATAAAGTTGATACTTCGTGGATTTCACCTGTCGCAGGTTATTTTTAGAACATAACCCAGCGATAAACGAGGGACACTGTCCTCTCACCTCAGCCTGTGCACATGGACTCACACTTGTCCCGAACTCGGCCTGATCCCGAAAACAGTCGCGTGAGTGAAAAATCGTCTCAAAAAGGTAAAAAATGTGGACATTGTCGCCGGACTTTAAGTGTGATGAGACAATTCTCCAGCCGTTGCACAACAATTATCATCAGAACCACTGCGGGAAAAGTCTGGATGGTGTTTGTGTCCGTGGAGGAACCACAAACCCAGAC